AGGGGTCAGGTGCTGGGTCTGCATGTGGCTGAGGCTGGTTTGATTCCTGACGTGAATATAGTCCTCTGAGCACTGCCAGGGGCACAGAATCAGGAGCAGTCCCCGAGCACCACCAACACCTTCCTTGAAGTTATGTGAAATAGAAAAGCAAATCGAAAACTCACCAAGGGCCCTGTTTTTGACTTAAATCTGTGGAAGAAGGATTCCATTGTCATAAGTCTCTCTGAACCAATTCTCTATTGCAAAATAAAGAAAGATGGGACCAGGCTATGCCATGGTTAAAGTCTAGCTTCTATGTACTGTAAGTACTGGTATTTTAAACAGAAAAACCAACGTTTGTTTTTAAATGTATTTTTGTTTTTTGCCTCTGGACCACATCTGTCTGAGCTCAGGATTTACTCTGCGCTTAGTGCTCAGGGATCATTCTTGGCAGTGCTTGGGGACCAAACTCAGACTGGCCACATGTCTTACCCTATTAAATGTATTTTTTGTTTTCTTTTTGGTCACACCTAGTAATGTACAGGGGTAACTCCTGGCTCTGTGCTCAGGAATTACTCCTGGCAGTGCTTGGGGGATCATATGGGATGCCGGGAATCAAACCCGGATCAGCCGCATGCAAGGCAAACACACTACCCACTGTGCTATCGTTCCAGTCCCTAAATGTATTTTTTAATGCATGTGTTTCTTCAGCCTCTCCAGCATTAATGCTCAGAAACTGGTGGGTGGGGGTCGGGGGTGGTATCACTCCTGGCATAGTTGGTCTGGCTCTGTGGGTTTGACTTGCAGTGCTGGGTGCTGGTGGGGGAAACTGAGGCTGAGGTTCTGCATACACAAGGCATACACTCTAGTCCTTGAATCATCTTCCTGGCTCCGAGGTCCCCAGATTTATTACCCAAGTGAGAAGTCCCTTTTCTTGTGGGGGGTGGTAACACCTGGTAGTATCTGGAGGTCAGGACTGAAACTTGGGCATCCTGTGGTGGTGGGGACTGAATCTGGAGTTTCCTCAGGCAAAGCACATGCTACAGTTCTCTGAGAAATTTCAGGGCATCTCAAGGGAGAAGTCTTAAATGAAAAGGAAAAAAAAGGTGTGCCAGAGCCTGATGCAGGGCAGCTGGATATTCCACAGGGTAGAATAAAAGGGGGTGGAATAAAAGGGGTTCCTGACTGAGTCACCTCTCAAACAACACTCAGGAAATGTCTCATTCAGAAATAAGTCATGTGGGGCAGAAATGCTTCTGGACTGTGAACGAAGCCATGGCCCCGTGCAGCTCTGGGAGGGGAAGGGTGTTTGTCCCTTCACCTTCCCCGGCCTACTCAGTGGCAGCACGGTGACCGCCATCTTTCAGAGCCTGTTAAACACAGAGGTACAAACCTGCAGTGACAGGGCGCATGGGGCCTCTCAGGATGGGGGGGTAGAACTGGTGCTTCCCTCCACCCAAACGAGACCCTGAGTTGCTGCCCACAAACGGCTCCTCCGCTCCTGAATGGCTATGATCCCAGAGGCACACAAACCAATCTTGGAACCCAGTGGCTTCTGGAAAAAATCTCTCTGGACTTAATTACTAAAATACTTGAAATCCAAAATTGTTTGGCCATAACACATCATATGCTCTTCATTATCATCAACAGAAAACAAATTATCGAATGATGCCTTTTCGGCAGTTATGATTGTTGGGGGAAAATTCCAAATAAAAATAGTGGGTCTTTTATCATCAAACTGAATGTAATCAAAGTAAAGAGAGAGTAAAATGAATGTCATATGCCACACAGGCAGGAGGAGGGTTGGGGTAGGGATATACTGGGATTCTTGGTGGTGGAACATGTGCGATGGTGAAGGGATGGGTGTTTGATCATTGTATGACCGAGACTTGAACCTGAAAGCTTTGTAACTGTTCTCATGGTGATTCAACTGAAAAGAAAAGAAAAGAAAAGAAAAGAAAAGAAAAAAGCAATGTATGTGCTTTATGTGTCAATGCTGAAGTTCCACATTAGCTAACTTGAAAAACATATACACACTGCCCTCATAGAAAGGACAGACTAACAGGGTAGAGATAGTACACAAGTCTTATTTAATTCCAGGGATATCTGATACCAGAAAGGAATGACAGATGACACTGTGACAGTGATTTATGGGGAAACCTGTAAGGTTAACAGAATGAATTCCTGAAAAATCACCATTAGTATTAGGCAGGCAGAAACAGCAGAATGTATAGTAATAACCCTGAAAATACAGAAAAAAGACAACTTGCCTTAGGATGATATGGGCAATTATGACAGAGTATGTAATGTACAAAGGGTCATGTGGTCCTGTGCTTCTCAACTGGTTTTGGAATGTGCTTACCTTTCAAACTTGCTTTTCTTCCTTAGCTTCCCCTGTCCTACCAGATGGTCCCCTGTTTCACACCATGGTCCCCTCACTTACACAATTTTCTACCTGTGGCACTCATGGAATATCATGGGGGTGGGGGAGGGGCAGAGGGAGCCAGATGGCCTCCAGATGAGAAACACCGATGCAGACAATCCTAACTAAAGACCTTTACTTTCAGTCTTTTCAAAGGATACCACTGATTTTTATATAAGGAACCAAAGATATGATAAAGTTGAAATGGAAACGCAATGGCAAAGCTGTTCTAGAGGATCAATGAGTGACAGCAGAGACTTCCCCAGTGTTCTGATGGCTGTGCATGGGTGATTCCAGCCTCTGAGCTTCTGCACAGTACCCTAAGCTAGTCTACGTGGATGTCAAGTGGCAGTCATGAGCCAAGCACCCCCAAGCAGACTTCTGCATGGAGGGGTCATCATGACAGTGTGGTAAGAAAATGTCATCAGAGCTCCTTCCACAGGTGGCAGCCTCCCCACTGTGAGTCCTGCTATGACACAATATTTGTTACTGAATAGATTCATCAATCCATCCCAACAAGCTACTTATTGGGAGAACCTAGTTATGATGGCTCTCCCAAGCACTGGTCAGAAGCAAGAGCCAACACTACTTTATTCCTCTGACCTACAAAAAGCACAGTTTAAAGAAGTAGGATCCCTTCCTTTATAAGGCGCAAAGTAAATATATTTACTTCTCCCCGCACTGAGGTCATTGGACAATTCATTTATAACTGAGTCTCTTATTGAAGTCTCAATCTTAAAACACTGTATTCTAACAGTGACTGCGGTGATAGTTGCATAACCATGTAAATAACATAAAAATTACTAAATGGTATAGTTCATTTATTTTCGTTTTGGGGGCATACCCATCTGTTTTCAGGGCTCACTCCAAGATCTGTACTCAGGGCTCACTCCTGGAGGGCTCAAGGGACTGTGAGGTGCCAAGGATTGAATCTGTTGTCAGCTGCATGCAAGGCAAGCACCCTGCCTGCTGTACTATCTCTCCAGCCTTTTGAATGGTATACTTTACATTGGTGATTTGTATGGCATATGAATTGTATTCTCAGGAAAGCTGCCACCAAAACATAATGATAAAAGCTTAATTATAGCAGCTTTTCAAAACATAATCATAATAGCCCAAGTGCTGCCAGGTGTGGTCCAAAAACAAAAAATGAAACAAATAAAAAAAAAAACTAGGGGCTGGAGCAATAGCAAGCGGGTAGGGAGTTTGCCTTGCACGCGGCTGACCCGGGTTCAATTCCCAGCATCCCATATGGTCCCCTGAGCACCACCAGGGGTAATTCCTGAGCACAGAGCCAGGAGTAACCCCTGTGCATTGCCGGGTGTGACCCAAAAAGCAAAACAAAAACAAAAACAAAAAAAACCCTAAAGTCAGCTATACAAAATTAGTCAATGATGATTGTAGAGAGTATAAATAAAACTTCAAAACTGAACTTATTTTTCTAGACCAGAGCGTCCTTTGCAGAAAGGCATAAAGCCACTGTATAACTCACTGGAAGAGGAACAAGATGGTATTATTCACCTATGTTTCCTTTCCTGTTCTTTTATTAAGTAAAATAGTTTTTAGGAAATATGAGAGAGAGATACACACACACATACAGAGAGAGAGAGAGAAAGAGAGAGAGAGAGAGAGAGAGAGAGAGAGAGAGAGAGAGAGAGAGAGAGAGAGAGAGAAGAATAAATCCTATAAAGTAAAAAGAAAAAAACTGAACATCCTAAATTGGGATGCAGGCATTTCCAAATAGGAATGTGGTTCCTAATTTGTCTTTTAGCCTACTTATATAGGTCCCAGATTAACTTCTACCCAAGCTTCTAAAAAGCAGTAGAGCTGGCATTTAAGAAACTTAAACCCCTATCTGCCCACCAGCTGAACACGGGACATCCCTACATCTGTCCCTTCTCTTTAGGTCACAGGCAGCAAATGTGAGCGCCTCTGGCAGCCCGTCTAGCAGCACTCCTGAGCGAAGGGCAGGTTACATCTGTGCACCTGTGGTGCTGGGAGTTAGACCACAGGAAGTTGGAGAGGGGACTGGAGGTGGTAGAACACGCTTCAATAACTGCTCCCATGAGCGATCTTACAATCTAAAGAGATCTCAGAAGTCTGAAATGTTTCTATAGGGTCTGGAGTAAGAACACAGTGGGCAGGGCCCTAGGGACGTTTTAGCAGTGCTCAGGAAGCCACGTGGTGGTACCAGGGTTCGAACTTGGGGCACTGTACATGCAAAACATTCAGTCCTGACTGAGTCATTTCCTCAGCCCTAACAGCTGGTTTTAGGAGCACTATGTAGGTCAAACAGGCCACCAGTTTTCAACCTTTATTAATACACCATTGGCAACATCTCTGAAAAGCACTGGTTTGTATGCTAAATTTTGCAGGGTTATTTTCATAAGTGTAACATCACCCTGGGGAAGAGTAAGGCAGAAGGTTCATTAACGCCTTAAACACCCAGAGTGCTCTCTTTTTCGGGCAACCTGGATGGTCTCATGGCCTGTGCTACGTAAGACAGTGCACACCTGATCACGAGGTGCTTTTCTCCCCAGGGGCCCAAAAAACAATCCATTTCTAGTCTATAACAACTGTGCCCTGAGCAGCTGCTTACCCGCTTGTCAATGTCATTGTGCTGGAGCTGCACAAATCGCGCACTGATGGCTGCGATGTAACTCTGCTGATTGGAGAACGCCACACGGCCGGCACCTTTGGGGTACTTCAGCTCTGGGTCCGTATCAATACCAGCATAGCAGACGCCACCATACAAACGGTCCATGATCATTGCCAGTTCAACTGCAAGGAAACAGACATGATTTTACATAAAACGTTTACAAGTTACCCTTGCCAGGAAAAAGAAAGTCCTACTTAAAGATCCTGCAGTATAATTAAGAGGAAACCCATGGCAGGTACCAAGAAGAGCAATCACACCAGTCTCACAGGAATTTATACAATCAGAATTTCAGCAAGAGTATAAAAGGAATGACTCCTTAGTAATCTTCCTCTTGTCATTTCTGTTTAGTCACTGCAGTGAGCCTTGCATAGATAAAGCATTTCACTACACTTAATGAGAACAGCACTACGGACTGGAATCTAAGACTGGAAGCAAATTTTATGCAGTAGTCAATGTCACAATGTTATATTAACATGCGATTATAGAAGGGATTAGCTTTTGTTTTAACCTGAAGCAACAAACTTAATGTTTTGAAGACCTATCATTAAATAGTATTTTTACATTATATTCTATCCCAACTAATTAATCTCCAAACTGACCCTCATCCTGAAATTTTTTTTTTCTTGGTCCTGAACAGATCGTATTTATTCCCACAGGACTTGTTTTCAAGTGATAGTTGATACATGAAAATAACAGTTGCCTGGGAAGGGAAGAAGAACGGCACAGTGTTGAGGACCTCATCCTGAATTCTAAGCAATACTTGTAGTGATAATAGCAGTAATGAGCATTTATTGAGCACTTACTATAATGTTCAGGGGACATGAAACTGCTGTAAAAGCAGTCATAACATAATCATTCTGCATTCTGTTATCAACTCAGACATCTGGACTGCACTCCTTGCTTTGTATATTCTAAATATACCCTTCCATTGGTATAGTTAGAAAACACCAGGACAGAAGGCATCTTGAAACTGGACCACTCCAAAGGTCTGACCTTCTAAAATCGTTATTACTATCAAGATACCATGTAGAGACATGGAACAGTTACTTACCTGCATCAAACTGCTTGCAGGTAATTTTTTACTTCAAACTTGATGGCACCTCCTCCAGGTATGCCCATTTCTTTCGGGCCAATCACATGGTTTAAGTCCAAAGACTTAGCCTTACACTTGAGAAATGGACCCACTTCCCTCAAACACCTATGTATAGTATTTAGAAAAGAGAAGACAAGGAACTAGATGATGACTTGAACCAGAGCCAGTGTATAAAGACTGTCACGTCGTAATTCCTCTGCAGATACTGAGCTCTACTATCTGTGAAGATGCAGAGTGGCACAATACTGCCAGATGGAGGAAAAGTCTTGCAGCAGGTATGAAGGCAGAGGGGCTGAATGGTCCATGAACCCCAACAGGAAAGCCAAGTGAAACTGGTTGGCTCCAGTAATCCAAAGCTGCTGAAGCAGTAAGAAAAGCTAAGTCTCTATGACAGAAAGGCTGTCTCTTTATTTCTTCAAGGAGTTTCCCCATACCAGACTGTTTTCTAAATGTTTTAGAAAACAAAGAATAGCCTAATAACCAATATAGATAGTTTTCAGAGGCTGATAAGCTATCAAAACTAAGCCCAAGTATAAGTACTTTAATAAAAATCATATAGCAGAAGGCTATTCCAATGACCTTATTTTAGTCAGAATTACTGTCTTATCAGCCAAGAGAATACTGCTGATCCGAGCTCAAATGGACTCCGATCGCAGCCTTGGCACATGATCCAGGAATCCTATTAATTCAAACATTGGAACAAGATTCATGCACATACCCTAAATAGCAGAGTGCTGACTAGAACTTCATAATATAGTTATCAGAAAGTTTGAGGATCTCCTCATAAAGTTGTTACTATTCTATTAACAGCAACTAAGAAATGAGTCTTTTTGGGTGGGTCTCCGTTAAATGGATTTAGCAAAATAAGTAGCTTCGATATGCCAGACACAGTAACAACAAGTAGCATCAGTGTCTAGAAATTATAATCCTAAATTTCCAAAGACCTGGTTTCCCCTGGAATGGGACAAGACAGTGAGTAACACTCCTTCAGTCTGGTGAGTGGCCAGGAGGACAATTCTGGCAAGGGCTGAATGCTATTTGCCTTCTACCAATGGCAAGACTCAAGAAAGTGCTTAATTTAGAAAGAATGTATAACAGCTCTAAAGTTAAGTCTCCAGCTGAGAAGGGCTATTCAAATCATAGGTTCTTCTAAGGCATAGTGATCTGCAATGTATCTCAGGCATTAATTAGATCCTTGGATGTTCAAAGAAGCACAAGCACAAACATCCTTTTCCCTGTGAATCTATCTGCTGAAAATCATCTTTGAGTGCCAGAGATTGCTGATTGTTAAATAAATGCTTCTGATAGTAAAGAAATCATTCCTAGGCAGTAAGTTTATATAGTCACTTTCTGGACCATCTAAAAGTCTGATAACTGAGTCAATGAAGTCTCAAGTAAGTAAAGTACACTTTTTGAGAAGTTGAAAGAACATAATGGGGGTGGTGACTAGTAGAAGGGTTTCTATTGGGAAGAGCTTCCCCAAGCGTGCTCAGGAGGACTTAGGCCCTCCTGGTGGCTCTCAGCCAACTGGACTGGAGGCTCAACACAAGGGCTCGAGGATGCAGTGCTGCTTGGGCCCTGGCATGCCGGGGATTATGTAGTCTACATCAGTTGTGCTCAGGAGGTCTTCAGGGTCAATCCAGAGGTGCTCCAGGACCTTGAGCCCCACCCAGTGATGCTGGGGACCACACACTGCCAGGGAACAAACTGGGATTGGCTGCATGCAACCTCTGTACTATCTCTGGCACAATGGAAGAGATTTTTGGAGAAAGAACATGGAGATTTTCCATATTTCTTTCTATTCTCATCTCTATTTTAACCACAGAAGATCTGAGACTGTGATCAACATTGAAGAAAAGTAAATGAGAATCAAACAACTGCTGTTTATAATATTTTTGTCCTCCACTTAACCAGAAAGTTTTTTTTGCTAAAAGCATATTTCTACAAGTTAAATGTATGCTGGCCTCGCACACCAAATAAGTGTCTTTTAAGACATTAAATAGAGATTTTAATTGTTGAAAAACGCAAGCCCTTTGTAAAAGAATTAATAAGGAAGAAACTGATATAATTCACCCATTACCTAGGGGACTAACTAATAAAAACATAGAACAACCCTTCCTCAAGTCCTAGAACTATCCAATCTGAGATTATTTCTAATATAGAAGATTAAAAATTGCTTTAGATGTCAGAAGGCTGAGCTGGAAAGAGAGCTCAATGGGCTGAAGACAAGGAGGGCCAGGTTCAATTTCCATTATCACCAGGTTCCATGAGCATCACTTAGGAGTCGCCCTTAAACAAGCTAGGAATAACCTCTGGAGTACACTAGTGTGGCCTAAAAATAAGATGGAAAGATCTTAATCAAGAAGATGGTTACCAGGTCACAGAAATAGTACAGTGGGCAGGTTATCTGCCTTGCATGCAGCTAACTTGGTCTTAATCCCTGGTACCCTTGATCCCTAGTTCCCTGTGCACCTCCAGGAGTGATCCCTAAACTCAGACTTGAGCATTGCTGGAGAGTATCACCAGAGCACTGCTGGGTGTAGGCAATCCCCACCCCCCCAAAAAAAATCCACCATTTTTAACTGCTTGAGAGGAGGAAAAAAGTTAGAAAATCAGTAAGGGTCTGCTAGAAATCAACTAAATCATCATAGGTTCATCTAGATCGTGTGTTCTCATGAAAATGATCACTAGATCAAGGAAGTGTCTTATCCAGAAAACAGAGTCAAACCACCTACTAAGCCTGTGCAGGGAATCCTCATGCTGAGTCATCCTAGTAGAGGCCTGAAAAGAAATTATTAACATTTACCCAAGGAAGATGGGGCTACTGGAGCAGAAAAATAGGTGAAGAGAGCTGGATGCTGGACAGACACGGGCATAAAAATACCATGAGGAAGTCAGAAGCCTCCAAGTCACTTTTCCCCCCCCTGCTTAAACAGTATACACAATGTCTGTCTGGTCCCCACAAGTGTAGAAAATTAGCATATCTGGAAACACTACCCATGGGCACACTGTGCTTTGAGATGATGCTATCTGCTCCTTAGACAAGTCAAGTCATTTCATGAACTGGGGTTCATGAGAACACCATCACACCACAAGTTTTAACTACACACTGGCTCATGCTCCAGCATATTACAGACTGGACAGAATAACAAGAGTAGTGCAGATGCAGGTAGCATACAGCACCCCCATGATATCTCTGGGTTATGGTGATGATGCCTTAGAAGAAGAATTTGAACCTCAATTATCCTTGAGGATATCCTTGGATTTGCTCCTGATTCTTCACAGAGAACCACAGGAGACTTCAGATTATAAGAAGAAAACTGCCAGGACTCCTCCATCGTGCCTCATCCCTTTCCTGTTCCTATCATCATTTAGTAAGATTTCAGTCACCCAAAGATAATGTCCAAGTCTGAGACAACTTGAAACTGTATGGGGTAGAGCAAGGATAGGAGTTCCTGAGGGCAATGTCTATACATCCATCTATCTCTCCAGATCCTAAACTGTGAATCTAGAAATCGTATTTTTTCTTTTTGGAAATAACATAGCAGAAAGCAAAGAGGCTTGAGGCCCAGAATGAGAGCAAAGTGGCCTGAACTTCTGAATAAAAAGAATACTGAACTTGAAGGAATGTTCTAGGTACTACTATCAACGAGTTGGTTTGCACAACAGTATGTATTTTAAGTGGATGAAATGTGCTCCTAAGTGTCCATATTGGGAGGGTGAGAATATTTTCACACAAATGCTACTTGTCCTGAGAGATAGATGATTAACTTGATTAAATCATATCCCATGCTTTCCAAAGTAGGGAAGACTATCCCCAGGGAATGCTGTAATGACCCAGGTGGGGGGTGGGGGACAGCAGCAGCCTAAGATGTAATTGGGAGGCACTTTCTGTTTCTTCCCTTAAAGGGGAGGTGCTGAATAAATTTTTCTCTGAAAGGAGGCAGTGGGTCAAATAAGTTTGGGAATCTCTGATCATATGCATACCAAACAGCTACTGACAGCAGCCTGAGAAAACAGTCTGACACA